TTCTCACTTGTGTGAGTCCGCATGTGCCTCTTCAGATCAACCAGCTGACTGAATTGCCTCCTGCACTCCTCACACCTGTAGGATTTCTCTCCAGTGTGAGTCCTCATGTGAGTCTTCAGAAAATCCAGTCTACTGAACTGCCTGCTGCACTCCTCACATCTATAGGGTTTTTCCCCAGTGTGAGTCCGCATGTGTCTCTTCAGGTCAGCTAACTGACTGAACTGGTTGCCACACTCCCCACACATGTAGGGTTTCTCCCCAGTGTGAGTCTGCATGTGAGTCTTCAGGCTATGTAGCTGACTGAACTGCCTGCTGCACTCCTCACACCTGTAGGGTTTCTCCCCAGTGTGAATCCGCATGTGTTTCTTCAGATGATCCATCTGACTGAACTGCTTGCTGCATACCCCACACATAAAGGGTTTCTCCCCAGTGTGAGTCCGCATGTGTTTCTTCAGATTACTCAGCTGACTGAACTGCCTGCTGCACTCCTCACACCTGTAGGGTTTCTCCCCAGTGTGAATCCGCATGTGTGTTTTCAGAACACTAAGATACCTGAACTGCTTGCCACACTCCTCACACCTGAACACCTTCACACTTTTGTCCTGCCTCCCGGTTTCCTCTCCAGACTCCTCACAGCTTTCTCCTTGCAAGGTGGCAACGTCATCGGCAGAACCCCCTGCTGATCCTCCTTGCCAGGTGGATACGGTGTTGGCAGAACCCCCTGCTGATCCTCTCATGACGTCATCCAAACCTTCTATGCTTCTTGTTGTTGCCATGTCAACGAGAGTTGCATCAACCTCTGTAAAAAAAATTAAACAAGCGATCTATAAAACATGCTAAAACATATATATAGTTGTGTAGTACTACGTAGTATGTATAGGGCATATTAACAAATGCTCACCATCTGTAATAATTACTAAAAGAACTAGCAGAACTGAAACCACAGAGACACCATAAAAGAGAGGATGTGAGCTGTCTTTACTGTACGTTGTTGTTACTGATGCTATGCAGGGTCTTTGAGAGTAACATTGTGCAACAGTTAGTAAACTGTCCCTTCGCCTTCATACTTTTCATGCAATGGATGTGGGCTCCGGCTTATTTTTTACGTGTTTGTAGGCGTTCGTTTTGTATATATTCTTGCCACCCATACTTCAGTTGCGTATGGATACTCAACTGCCAATAATACTGTCGTGCAAATTTAAAATAGCAAATGCTTTTCTGTGTTTCGCTAAGAGATTCAAAAGTTCATCACAGCCTCCCATCATTAATGAACCGTCCCGTTGTTTTCACACCCTCCCGTCTGGCGTCAGGGCGGGATGGAATCCAGATGTGAGAATTTGTCGGGGCTCACGTAGGGGTTTACAGTATACTCACGATTAGCTTAGTCTTGGATTTACGCTTCATCAGCGACACAAGAATCCCTTTATAACAGTTGCTTTGTTTATTCGGTACGTAAAAGTGCACACTGGATTGCAGGAATATTTTTGCTAATCGTTGATGCGACACACGACATAATCTCGTAACCCCCTACCGACCCTCACTCTCTGTTTACGTTGTCAAATTCCAGGCGGCAGCTGCTAACTTCCATAAACAATGCAATGATTTGAGAGCCAAATATTCAAACGAACAATCCAGAAATTTCTCAGACAATTCCATATCCACACTACGACACTTCTTTGGACAGCTGCACCGAAACAGGGAGCTTTGAGTACTAGTTTTTGACGCTCCTTGACTGAATTATAAACAGCATGGCCCAGATCACACGCACACTGGCCCAAACGCACGCCGCCACACAAATATTATGAACCGTTGTTTGCCAACTCTACAAACCCCTGAATACCAACTACATGCCGACTTTTCCTACCTGGAAGTTAGCTGATACACAGTCCGGGCCGAGTCGCCTGTTGAATCGCTGCAAAACTCCTCCAAAGACGGAAAACTGCTCAAGATGCCGCGTCCTTGCGGGACAGGAAGGCGCTATGCCGTGACCCGGAAGTACAACCGGTTGTACTTCAAGAGGTCAAGTGTTCAAATTTCGTTACCTGATTACCCAACAAATGTATGGGATTTCGAGCAAAGGCTAGTATTATTATAGTAGTAATCGGGAATAATTTGTGACAGCAAAAAAAAACCTTTAGATGACACCGATCTATGTTTTATGTTATGGAAAGTATATTTTAACAGGGTAATCTACCTTCTAGATTGCCCACTAAGTCAATAATATGAAGAGTCTCAAAAAAAGGCTAGGGTAGGACGCGTTTTTTCTAGGGTAAATCGGGAAACAGAACATTTCTTTCCTATGGCCACTTGCTGTGACGTCATGGCAATTAGTGGTAAATGGCTCTGACCCCGATTCTTTCAATCTACGAACGACTTTCCGCCAAAATAAAATACAAAATACTTTGTTGAAAGTAGGGTAGTAAAAAGATATAATTCGGTAAATAGTAGTAGATTCATCAAAACGCTAACTCAAGTGTACAATCACTTCCCAATGTTAGCTACTGATTATGTACACAAACTATCAACGCCATCAACGTTAATGCGATAAAAACAACAACAATTCAGTACAACTAACCTAACCGAACAACAATGTAAGAAAAGTACCCAAGAGAATAATACCGTAAGTGCTGTACAACATAGTAAGATTAATTACAGAAAAAAAACAAAGATTTAAGCATTAACTACATGTTAGTAAACTTCTCTCGAAACAACATGTTCTGTAAAGGCTTTAAAAGTTAACATACAAAAATGTATATATGTCAACTATCAAGAAAAGATAAAGAGTCAACATACTAAAAATAACACAACAAAATAGATCCGTTGAACTCTTATTTTCTAAGTAGGATATTTGGTACTTCAATCTACAATGACTAAGGAAACTGTGCAATATATATCACCTATAACATCGTACATCTTACACTAAAAAAGTTTCCATACTGTGCATGAAATAGTCTTATATCATAACTTGTGGTGCTAAACAGCATCCCACAGTCTTCACTTCTGCTGGTTCCCTCTTTTGTGAGTTTGTATGTGCTTGCTATAATTACTTTGGTCACTGAACTGCCTGCCACACTCCACACAC